AGATACCCTCTTTTCCCACCATCCAGAGCGTCAAAAAAGGTCGGGGGAAAACCCACCCGGTATCCCCCTTGGTCCAACCGTCCAGACTATAATTGGCTCTTTGGGGCGCATACACTCTTTCGACGAGCCCAGTCCAGCTTGGCCGAACGTTCGCCCATCTTCGAGGGGTCACAGCCGACTGACCTTCGTCCCAGCGAAACGCAACAGTTGCCGACTGATGGTACAATTTGCGCAAGGGCTTGTCTGTAAAGCGTCTTGGGCAGAACAGGTACAGCCTAAAAAAAGGCCATTTTTTCCAAACAAACACTCTAATTTGCCACAAATCGGTGGTGCTTCGGGGCAGTTGGAAAAAGGTAGCGGAAGGCTACGAGCGTTGCCAAGTCGACCGAGCGGCAATCTTCGACGCGTCGCGACGGTGCTCGGGTGTGATTCGTCTGCAGCAAAGTACGCTCGGATCGAGTGCCTCTGCTTCGGGCAGTCAATCGGCACATGGACAAGTAGGCTGCCATGGTAACCGGTTCGCGAAAGTTCGACCGAGCAAGGCCGAAAGCTGAATGATGAAGTCCATGATGATGCCAGTGACGATTGTCTCCCGTTGTGTGTGCTTGTGTGTTTGTGGTGTGGCAAGTGGAGGCAAAAGGGCGAGAATGGGACGAGCAGACGAACAGACGATTGGGCGAACGGGTGCCAGCTACCGCACCGAACTGGTGACGGTGAGGCGATGGGAATGGCAAGAACAAGAGCCACAGGCTGCATGCGCTGTCTGTACTTGGCGGAATTGTCTCCAAAGGCGTCCGTCTGCAACGATGCTGATGCTGACGCCAATGCGTAGATAATAATAATAATAATCATCATCATCATCATCACCATCATCATCCGACGAGTTTCCGAATATATGCAGTTGTTAGATCAAACACACAGACAGTCTCGGACAGCTACTTATGAAATAGAAAATAAGTAGTATAGTCGACTGCTTTGGAAAATACAAATTTGCTACGTCGCCAATCCAATCACAGAGATGTGGTATGGAAATACCTTGGAATTCACCTATTTCCTGTCACCTGAGAACATTCG